GCGAGTTGACGAGCCGCTTTGCGGCCAGCGACCGCATGGTCAAACACCCGCCTCATCTCCTCCCCGAGTGCGTGGAACGAGGAGCAGCAAGAGTGTTGATTCTCCCACACCGCCATTCCCCACAGAGCCGCGCACACCCGGAGAGCAAAATCATTACTAATGCCACCTTTGACTGCTCAGAGGCGAACGTCACCGACTGGAGAATGAAAAAATGAAACACTTTGTCAGGAAGGATCTGCAGAGATTAGGTTCACGGGAATACCTCTCTGGTGTAGGGATGCGCGGCTCTGGACGGTTGATGTCGGAGGATTCCGGGGAAACGGGCGGCGGGGGTGGTGCAGTGGGAGCTCTCAGTTGTTGTAGTTGAGTGGTGAGCTCGGACATCTGCGTTATCAGAGCCTGTATCGACGCGTTACCAGAGGCGACGATGTGTTCGTCCTGCCGATCCATGCGAGTGATGTTGCTGGCGCACATCTCCTCTAATCCTGTGGCACTCGCTGAATCCATCATAAATCTGAAGGAAATAGTCAAAGGATTCAGTTGCGAGTAAACAGTAATATTTATTAAGCACAAGAGTAGATAGCCGTGTGGGTCAGAGTGGAAGCAGGCAGAAGAAGACTCAGGCTCGGCAACGCAAGGGATGCAATGGGCAGACACAGATGCAGGAACAGGTAAATAATCCTCCAGGAAACCTCAGGAAAATCACTGCATGGGAACAGGACTGGAATGCAGGAGAAACAAGGTGAGTAGAACCCTGGTCAGCCTCAACAACCATCTGACAAAGACAGGACGAGGTAACAAACAATAGGACATCCTCATTCAAAACAGCTGCCGCTGATCAGCCCATCAGCCGCGCTAACAGTAGCGGAGTGGCCATCGGGAGAGTCAGGACTTTTCCAGGTGGGCCGGTAGTGTTTCGAGGCCAGGAGGGCCGGTCTGATAGTTATACATTTGCAAGTTCTTAGCAACACAGCATCCGGCGGCCTGGTGTGCGGCCGCTGCCCGCTGGTCAAACTGTGCAGCTTCTCTGCTCAACCTGTAAATAAATCCATCGATCCACAAGTTCTTCAATGGTCTAGTGGTAGATCTTTTGCCAAGCGTGTCAGAGGTTACGGGTTCTAATCCGCACTCATATAGTTTTTTTTTCTATCATCAAAACCGAATATGTTCATCATTGGTTACAGTCTATATCAAGCAGGGACACGTTTGTGTGCATTTTATTTTGTGATTTCACCGAGTCTCCGCAACGACGATAGATTGAAGAGCGCGTCCGAGTGAAGACTGTGCGGACGCCACAAGAGAACAACTGTATCCATGCAACTGATAGCAGTGAAAACTAGAGCGCTCAGCTTGATTTAAAAAACAACAGATTTTAGTGCTAGATCTCTTATTTGATAGTGAACTAAATGAATGCTTTGCTAGTTAACTGGATATGTTTTTTTGTGTATTAGGTAGCCTACATCCGTGCCTCAATGTTTCAAAAAGTGGTAGGGGACAATATCGATCCTGAGAAAAAGTGGTGGGGACACGTCCTACCCGCAAATTACGCCTATGATAACTACGACTTCACTGGATTTAAACAAATCAACCCCCCAGCCCACCCACAAGGGCCGGTGGTCTACGAAATTTCCCGGTAGATTTTTTGGTCCCACTCCGCCCATGCGCGCTAATAAGCCGTGTTGATGAGCTGCGCCCACTCACACAACACGCACACACATAGCGAGGGCGAATCAATGAATCCATGAACCGTGACACCAAGACATTAGTAGCAGATTCTTTAAAGGCACCGATATACTTTAAACAAAATCGAAGAATGAACTGGTGTGATGTTACTTTCCGGAAAAGTTCGCAATGGCTGGTGACCACCTTCGAACCCCCATTGGTCCATGGCAATTACGTTATAGGTAGGTAGGTGTGCTCTGGGGCTCTGCCTTTTTATGATGTGGAAATCTTTATGTCTCCTGTCCAGTCTGTCAAGGTTAGACTTCTGCAAGTAAAAACATTGATGAGTAAATAAACATGACGAATCACATGACTGGAGTGCTGAATTGTAGATCTAGTGCAAACATATCAACATCGCTATGATCAGATGCTTTCTTAACTTCTGTTTTCTCACTGCTGTTATTTTTGCTGTGTTTAGTTTGTTTATTTTGTTCAAATCAATGTGCGGCACATATTTACATATTCATTTAAACGCCACTTGCAGCAGCATGGGCAGCATGGATGTTCGCTAATAGTATACCGCTGGTCACATATTTCTAACTTCTTTTTACCCCAAAGTGAAGAACAAAAAAGAACTTCACTGTGAGTGTATATTACGCCCTTAAGCCCTGCAAGTTGCGAGGTGGGGCCTCCATGGATCGAATTTGTTGTTGTACCAGAAAGACTCAGTAGGCAGATAAACATTCAATAATTTTATTCTCTGAAAGATTTTTCAACAATTACATATGAATTTGTGTCAGCTACAGTCCTATCACAAAGTTCTTTGTCCTTAGTTCAGGTCTTGATGTAAGCTGGCCATCCTCGGACAGGAGGAAAGGGCCAATCTGGTGGTGGTGGTGGGGAAGATGGAGGGCTACTTCGCCAGGTCACCTATGATCAGCAAATGAGAGAGTAGGGTGAGACTTATATAGTGTTGACTTAATTAGTTCGATGTAATTAATGAATGACGTGACATTGGAGCCTTCCTGGTAGAACCTACGCTGAAGCTTTCATGTCCAGCACATCCCATAGATGCTCAATCGCAGTAAGATCGGGGGAATTTGGAGGCCAAGGAAACATCTTGAACTTTTTGTCATGTTCCTCAAACCATTTCTGAACAATTTTCATTGGCATTTGAACAATGGGCATTTGAACAATGCCTATTGTAGGCACTTTTGGTGGTGAACAAGTGTCATCATGGGTACTCTAACCAGTCAGCAGCTACACAGCCCCATACACAGCGAACAGCGATGCACTGTGAGTTCTTTCTATAATAGGAAGCATTACGTTTTTCAGCAGTTTGAGCTACAGAAGTTCTTCTGTGTGATCCCACTATAGCTATAGTCTTCACTTCCCACTTGGGTGCCCATGGCCCTGACGCCGGTTCACCAGTTGTCCTTCCTTGCACCACCTTTAGTATGTAGCTACTAACCAATGCATACTAAGCACACCTGACAAGACTTGCCATTATCCATCACTATTTGGCCCTTGTCAAAGTGGCTCAGATCTTTAGCTTGCCCATTTTCCTGCTTCCAACATTTGAAATTTAAGAACCAACTGTTCACTTGCCGCCTAATATATCACACTCCTTGACGGGTCCCATTGTAATGTTATAATCAATATCATTCAATTCACCTGTCAGTGGATTTAATGTTGTGGCTGAACAGTGCATATTCTATTCTATATTCTATTGTCAGCCATGAGAGTGGAGGATCCATTGAAGCAGATGATGATGACACACTCATGAGCAAATACTTGACTCTGGACTCTGAAGCATGCATAATCTATGCATCACAATCATACAAGTATGAACACGAGTTTGTATATACAAAGTACATTTGTTCTCTTTGTGAGTATGTTACATTTGAGGTAGACTGCCATTTGCAAACTGCCTGTTTTACCTGCAGTTTGCCATAAGAATGTGGTATGTGAAGAATGTAGACTTGCACTGAGTTGAAACTAACATCTGCAGTGAGAAACACTGCTGTTTGTGCTCACACTCAAAAAAATATACAAATGTGACAATATATAGCAAGGAAAAAGAACAGAAAGATTGCGACCATTTACAATTTACTTGAATATGGGTCCAAACCCTGATATTTTCAAATGGACATTATCCAGTAACAAACCAGAGACAACTTAAAAAAAAAAAAACTTCATAAGACAGAAACAAATGGTCATTGTATTCCATTGTGAAAAAGTATTGTGCTTAATTGAACTGAATGTGCACTTGTAGTGTACTTCTAATCTTAAAAGTATATCTGTACTTGCAAATAATATATTATTACTTAATAATGAAATAAAGATATACTTTTCATTAAAGTACATTTTAAATCATATCTTATTGGCATGTTTTAAAGAAATCCACTTATTTCAATGTATTGACTAAAGCACATGTAAAGGCCCTAACTGTAAAATTCACTATAACACAAAAAAATACATAATCCATCTTCATGTGTGTCTGTGTATGGGTAAAAAGGTCCCTGAACACCTGAAATATTCATATGATAGTGTGAGTGTGTAATTCTGCTTGTATAAGTGAGTCAGTTATACAAAGCTAGTTATCAAGAGGGTTGTGCAACTGTTTGAAGATGAGGACATGCTGACTAATTCATTGCTCAGATTGTTTAGGTGTAAATCTGTGTGCTTTTACACCTGTACAATGCTGCCCTATATTCTGTAGTAATATGCTGCTGTAATGTTGTCAAAGGAGTGTCATGTCTTGTAATCTCAGTGCACCCACCCAAAATGCTAAGCATGCCCTTGCCTGTCCATTACCAGAACTGTTCAGAAAACAAGGAGAGGAAGCCAGTCAGTGAATTTTTATCTGTGCAGGGACACGCCTTGCTCAATGGGAATCTATAGAGTATTTCTGATAGCTTCCTGGAAAGAATCTCATGAAAAATGTACAGTAGCCTAATGCTGACCAAAACTGCACATAATATCTAACACGTTTCTAACTTATCAGTTTTTTTTTTTTATAACAATACGATTACGACATGCCACAAGACTAAAAACTAGGCCAATGCAAACCTAATCACACGTTCTGAAGTAGAGGCCTGTTGTTGTGCAAAGGAATGTGTATCCTGAGAGCTTCCAGATGTGTTCCCAAAGGAGCAGTAGGCCTAATAGTTTCCAATAGTTTCATCCATCAACAAAAATGTGTCATAAGGAAACCTGGTTTTCCAGAGTTTTTTCCAGAGTGTGGAGCGTATGAAACCCGATCGACTCCGCCCCGTTAGGTTTACTGTCCTAAAGCATCAAGTTACATGAGACATTTTTCCCATAGTGGTCACTGACACGAAAGGTGGGTTTGATTTTTCTTTCTTTTTTTTTCCCCCTGAGTGGGAGGATTCAGGATGTCAGCCAATATGTGACAGAAGCGATGGGACGCTGAGAGTGTAAAGTAGGAGTACTGCACGACGGGAACAGTAAAGTTTATCTAGAGGCAAGAAAATAAAATAAATTCACTTCAAATGGCGGCAGAGGTATGTGGTGTACATTATATTACACATTTGTGATTGCTCCTTTACATATTAAATCGGGTTTCACGCAGTTTATGAGTGTTTTAAATAAGCTGCGTTTCGTCGGTTTTTTTCTCTTGAAACTTTGCATTTGTCAATCTCGGTAATCTTCCACACTTGACCGAAACGGTGTCAAGATGCTGTAATCTGCTGTCAAATAAACTAAAACAAGAAAACTTGTTTCTATGAAGGTTAAGTGTTTTTCTCCCCCAAAGATCTTGCTTCTGTTTCCTTTTTGTATGAGCAGTTAATAAGTGCCACTGACGCATATTTCTTTTGTGCTGTTTTATGTTTGTTTGGTTGTTTTTATGCGGACGAGTCTTTGTTTTTTTTTATGTGTCGTGTCATAACCACCGCGTTTTATAGGACATGTAGATTGAAAAGAAATTCGACTTTCGAAAACTCTTCTCGAGGACGTGCGTTCTTTGGCATCCCGCTGCGCTTAGTGAGTCTCCTTGTTTTTGAATGCAGAAACTCGCCCTGTGACCCTACCAAATAAATTATCTTAGAAATATTTCCAAATAATTCAAGCCATGAGTCGAGACCATCGCTGCAATGAAACGTTCGCAATTTTATCTATGCAAACTACACAATGGTTATGTGCCAAAACCTAGTAAGCTGTCTGCGTTCCTACCCTAACCACCCCCGTCACGCCTATGATAGCCAAAAAAATGCTGTCTAAGCAGGCAGCTCACTAGGTTTTGACATACAGCCATTGTGTAGAAATGGAAAGCACGGGGAATCAATCAGACTCTAGCGTTGTTGTGCATTGGCAGAAAGGCCTCAAGAAGAAGATGTGAGACCAGGGTGGTTGTGAATTGTCAAGGCTGCCATTAGTGTTAGATATTAAAGGGATAGTTCACCCCAAAATGAAACTTTTGTCATTATACTCACCCTTTAAGTTGTTACAAACCTGTATGAGTTACTTTCTTCTGTTGAACACAAAAGAAGATAGCTGACGGCACCCATTGACTTCCAGGAAAAAATACTATGGAAGCCAATAGGTGCAGTCAACTGTCTGGTTACCAAAATGAGGGTGAGTAAATGACAAAAATGTCATTATTGGGTGAACTATCCCTTTGATCCTTTTTTTTTATTATTATTGTAGCCACAGGATTTTTATGTATTATTTCAACAGCGTACAGTAAATGTCTTTCGAGCCATAACAATGGAACCCTAACCCTTTGTTTTAACAAAACAGGGAAATGGTTTCCGTCATAAAAGGCTCAGCTTAGGTAAATAATGCTCAGAGGGCGCCGGGCTGTCATGGCCTGACATGCAGGTATTTCAGGTACTTTAGAATCTAGATAATTGTGTGAGAGTGAGCAAGGTTTGAATACACACAGTTTACAGACTCCTTTAATAGTGCTCTGATAGTTTTGAAGAGAGTGAAGAAAAGCTCAAGCTTTTGGATCTTTAGAGTTGATTAATCTATATAAAACTGAGCGCATATGATTGTTTCAGCCTGAATGTTTATTGTTCTTCATTATAAAAGACCAAGCAACAGATGGTAACATACCAAAACTAAATAAATAATTTCTAAATAAAGAAGTGCTGATCGTCATATCATTTTTCTGTTTTTGTAATTTAAAAGATGGTTTCCTGCACTACATTTTCCAGTTGAATTATGATAGACATTGAGCAAAGAAGATCATTATATTCTCCCCAGATCAGTGTTATTTTTTTTTTTCTATGTTCTTTAAAGTGCCAACACAGAACACATGGGTGGTTTTCTAAAGAACTAGAGAAAAAACTTATTTGTGAAACTGAAACAGGTTCTCCTAAAACATTAGGCTATGAAACCCTTTTGGTTTTCAATGAAACATTTTTAAGCAGTAGAACCTCCACCTATATTATTTTTCTTATAATGATCTGTCTCTATCTGTACACAACATCTTGTACTCTCTTAATTCTGCAGTATTCTGACCTTGAGAAGGCCATTAACACCTTGGTCACAAACTTCCATGCTGCTTCTCCTGATAATCGGCCTACGCTGAAGGTAGATGAGTTCAAGAACCTTCTCTCCTCCCAGCTGCCAACCTTAGTCAAGGTAAAAATCCATGTTGCCATTCATTCCACCAGATAAGTAAACTGATAAAAAAAACTGTTATTACTCATGTCAGGTGACTGTATTAAGCTGCAGCTTAACAATTGATAATCCTTTCAATGGGGGAAAATGTGAAAATGCTACAGTGAAATGAGTTTTATTTATGATAACAATAATGTTAGGCCTCTTTTTTAAAACAAGCTTTTGCTGTAAAACATTGTAAAAAAAATATTTTTAGATATAAAAAGTATTAATTGTATAGCTTAGGTTAAGTTAATGTTTTTGCATTGTTTTAGGGATACATGTTAGTTAGGTGGTGGTGTTGTGTGTGTGTGTGGGGGGTAGTGATGTATGTCTCGAGACCGGTCTTGGTCTCGAGACCGGTCTCGAGACCACTTTTACGTGGTCTCGGTCTTGTCACGGCCTTGACGGTCTTTGGTCTCGGTCTTGTCTTGGTCTCGGACCTCTCGGTCTTGTCTAGGTCTCGCTGTCTCAGACCGACATAGTGGTCAGGGGATTGAGCAATACAATACTACAATATCCACGACGATATCCGCAACGGATTGAAGCGCGCGTCCGAGTGAAGACAGTGCGAGCCACGCGAGAAAACACTGTATCCGCGCCACTGATCCCAGCGGCAACGAGCACTTTGATCACTTGATTTAAAAAACACATATCAGGGTGCGATTTGTGAAAAAAACAGAGGGGGGTATGTTTTGAAAAAGTTTTATTCATAAAAATAAATCATGAGAACATGAACTTCATCACTGCATTTGCAGGAATTGTAAAATCTTTTTTCTTATTAACTCATGAAGTAGCCTAACGCAAAATATGTTTTACTCTAATAGCTTATCATGTACAGTTTTTGATATATTAATATTTAGTAAAACACATATCAGTGACATGATGGGTTTTACCTTCATTCAGGAGATTTTGGGTAACTGCACAACTGACAGATGACTTTGAGCGCACCGCCCACGGTGTGTGTGTGTGTGTGTGTGTAACCATAGCGACAAAAACGACCAACTTTCGGATCCTGCACCTAAGCCTATAATTTCGTTTTTAAAAATATAATTATGTATTTAAAAGTTGCAGAATGGATTCATTTGGAGACTTCGAAATCAGCAGAGATAGGCAGGCAAATGCAAAACAACATTTGACAAGTTATTGCTTAGCTTCAACACTAATGTTTTTTTTCCCCTCCGGTCTCGACTTGGTCTCGGTCTTAGTCTCGACTTGGTCTTGGTCTCGACTTGGTCTGTCTTGGTCTTGGTCTTGGTCTTGTCTTGGTCTCGATACCATCTGGTCTTGGTAGTGTCTTGGTCTCGGTTTAGGCGGTCTCGACTACAAGTCTAGTGGGGGGGGGGGGGGGGGGGGGGGGGCTATGCTGGAAAGGCCAGTTTTGCAGCTAACGTGCAGGCTTTATTTATTATCATCTGTCCATTTAACTTATTCCAGTAGCAGTATATTTAGGAACAGTGTATGAGCTGGTGTAAAAAACACACCTTCCCCTAATGCCTGTAATGTTGTCACCATATTTATAATAGCAAAGTTCTGGTAACCACAGCTGCCATTTTTTTTGCTGGCAATTTAACATTTTTCCTGTGTATGATTTCTGTGAAGGATTGGTCGGTTTCACAGAGACTGTTTCCCATAGTTTGTTGCCTTAGATAGAGGCGTGGTCTGATTACACAGATCAGTTTAAACTCAGGTTGAGCCAGCGAAGGACACTGGGTGTGGCTCCATTCAGGGAGCAAAATGGTGGCTGCCATTGATCTAAATAGTTTCTCCTGCTCTTCAGTTACAGTCGGTACCAGATCATGTTATGGCAGGCCTTCTACAGCTTCAGGGAGAACCTGTGACATAGAAGATTTTATATTTATTTTAGTTGAATGAAGAGCAAATGCTCTGAGGTAAATGATACTGTAACATTTGAACTGTACTTCAGTTTTGATGTAATTGTGCTCACAGTTCATGTTGTGACATGTTAGAAACAGAAGAAAAAAAATAGACTGTCACTGTACAGATTTAGAAACATTTCTTAGAACAAAATCAATATCAATATTGTATATATGATTATGCAAGCATTGCAATGTTTAATTTAATTAGATTATATTTAAAGATTATAAATGAAAGCTTGAATCTACTCATTGTACTTGAACTTGCAGAGTTATTATAGAACATGGGGGGGGGGGGGGGTTATAGGCTCAAAATAATATTTATTACTGAGCAATACAGACAAACCAACAGCCACATGAGGGCGATATAGTGCAATTGTTTAAATGCAAAAGAGAAAAAAACATTTTACATGGGGCACATTTTGACAGAATACATGAACATCAGTGAGGATTTGCACTCTCTCTTTTTTTCCTCTAGTCGGATCATTTTGGAGAAGTGCTGAAGCAAATGGGTGTGAAAGATGGAGAAGGCATCAGCTTCAAACACTTCTGGGGCCTGATCCAGAACTTGGCCACAACCCAGCATGGTCTGCTCAGCCACGAGAAGTTGTCCAAATGCACCTGCCTTTTACTATGAGCCGCAGACTTCAGCTGCATCTGCCACTAAGATCTGGTCTCTCTGCATCTCTGCATTTATCCAGAACCACTCATCTCCAGACAAAACACTAACTTTCCTTCCTAAACATTCCAATAAAATGCTGACAAAATAAACATCAAGATGTCCTTACATTATTATTATTTTTTTACATTGTGTCAAGCATTACAGTGATCATCTCTCTTCAATCAAGTATCAAGCAATCAAGTATCAAGTTATTCATAATATACAGACAAGTTAACTAACTTCTTCATATTCCATAATTAACCTGGAGTTCAATTTGTTTTTACTTGCAAGTAAAGTTACAGCTTCCCACACAATTACATTTAACATGAATTGAGTGTTTCTCAGTAAAAGAAAATTCTTTAATTTTCCTTTAGTATTATTATTATTATTTTTTTTTGTGATAACACTACATTTAAACTTACTGCCATAATAGTCTAATGTTTATTTTTGCATGCAGACATGTACTGAGTGGTTTTGGCAAACAAAAACAACATCAACATTAAAAGCTTTTATTTATATTTTGTAATACTGTTTTGTATGGCCAAAAATCAGTAACACCCTGAATTATTGTTTAATAAAATACACATCAAAAACATCCCTTGTTTTTTTCTGATTTATAACCAATTGTAATTTTCATTTAGAATCAACTGTCACTGTGCAACACAAAGGTCCTTACTGAGAAAAGAACAAGGCAACTACAGAAAGATGATCGGGTCTTTTGATATTGTTATATATGTTATTAAAAACTGCTGTACAAGGTTACATGTAAATACTTTTTTCTTTATTTTTATCACAGCTTAGGTTCTCAAATTCACCACAGCAAATTTTCACAGTAGGAGTAGACACTTAACACTTTTTTTTCTTCACCACATATTCTGTCAAAACAACTCCACAGAATTAGCATTTTGGTCTGGGAACGTTTATCTTATCAGCCTATTTGAATGAACACTTTTTGCATGCTTTTTTTTCATCCTGCACTCCCGTAAATGTACAGTGAAAATTAACCATATACTGTATACTGTCTTATATTTAAAGTATTGTATTTTTTAAGGTAAACACCCTACATTAGATATATCAGTAGTGCACTGCCCAACAAAAACACTATTCCGTAAATAAGAACAATAATCATTGATTTCTGTCAAATTTAAGGGCACCCAAGTAATTAATGTCAGTCTCCAGTGCAATACATGCATTCATCCATAAACTTTAATTTGCCAAAATGGGGGAAGCTCTGCATCCTGATCATACAGACCACTGTCTGCTGTTGAATAAGGTAGACTACATAGATGTCCTTTTAAGAGGACTTCCCCAGTAAAAGCTGTTGTACCCCTAAGGGTAAAATGTTGTTGTAAGACATTCTTCAAAATATCTACTTTTATGTAACGTCTTATTGGAAAATATGAGAGTGAGTTCCTTTTGTATTCCTAGCTCAAACATTAGAAAATGGAGGCCGTACCACCAAAGTCTTGGGTTTAATTCTTAGAATGCATGAAGTGATAAATTGTATTCCTTGAATACAATGTAAGTGTCAGCACTATGTGGTAAGTGGTAAGCAGACGAGACACAGAGCCTGGGGGCTGACCAATGGAGGTGGAGCTGAACAAGGTGGAGACCACAGAGAAAATGAAAAGACGACGGCCGAGACCCCGGAAGTCCAAGGCAATGCCATCGACTTGAGGGACCGAAGCAGTAATGGGAGCCTGGCGAAGCCAAAGGGCTGACAAGCCAAGGTGAAGACCTGGGTCTGGAGGCCTGAGGTATAGCCAGGGGATCCGCCTCACAAAGCCGAACTGGTGGTGAAGAGGCGCAAAGCCGGAGAGCTGGAGAGAGTCAGCGGTAAGGGGGAGATGAGTAGTTAAGAAAAACTAATTCAGATCATTTTACGGGTTACTTGGAGCGAGTTCAGGGGTGGAAACAAGGATGTGAGCTGGCTTATTAATAAGCCAGCGTCTCTTCAACTGGCTCAGGAGTTAACTGCCACCACGGCGCAGACTCTGGGATGGACCTGGTGGTGGGATCTGGCCTCAGGTTGGAAATGGCTTCCGGCTCTAGTTCCAGGATGAATGAGTTGGCTGGCTGTGGCTCCATGGTTGAAGATGACTCTAACATGTGACCCGTGGCAGGCAATGACCCAGGCTCTAGCTTAGTGCATCGACATTAGGTCCGTGCCTATACTATATCATAACTACACCACTATGGGTATCAAAATTATTACTGAACTTCCCAGTGTTAAATATGACTTGAGAGGGCATTCATGTCCAATTTTTAACTAGGAAACTCGTATTTATGATAATTCCGATAGCACATGAAGGAAGCATTAGTCTAAGCATACAGAGTCCAAACATGATGGAAAAAGATCATGCATATATTAATTTGTCTATAACAGCTGAATTTGTGCAAGATGTTGCACTACATATAGCTGTCACCGAGAATACATATTTCTCTGAATAAGTATGAAATTAATCTTTTGTACATCAAGTTTCCATCAGCCATTTTCCAAACTGCTGGTCTAATGTGGGTACAGCGTATATTATACAGGTATAAATTCCTTTTTAACCCTTTGATGCACAACATGGGTCTAAATAGACCCGACTGAGTTTTCATTTTCTATATCTTTGCAAGAAATTCATTTCATCATTCAGTATTCCAGGTATTCCTCAATTAGCTTGTTTTAGATCATTACAAATCCTTATTTAAATTTTTCCTTTCTTACTTTTCGAATAAAAATCATTTTTGTGTCACTACCCTTCTAATGCGCAACATGGGTCTAAAAAGACCCGTATTCATGTTTCTTTGCTGAATATTCGAAAGAAATGTATTTTATCATTTATTAATCCAGGTATTCATTAAATATCTTGTTTTTGATTTCCACAAATCATTATGTTTATTTTTCCTTTCTTACTTTATAAACAAACATGGTTTTTGTATTTCTACATCAATTTTACACACATGGGTAAAAAATGACCCATATAGGAACCTTTGATATTTATAAATAGTATAAATATATTTACTGCAGAAAACTATTCATCTGCCACACATTTCACAATTCAACACAGCTGCTTTTGTATATTTCATGCATGTAAGTTTTATTTAATAAATTTTTGTCACAGAGAAAATATTTTATATTTTGTGAAAGACATCTAGATATGGCCTAATATTTGAACATTTAGGCTAAGGTTACCTTGACCTTGAAATCCATTACTAGTGCAAAAGAGAAACATGTCCAATACTATTAGCTAGCTTGCGGTCGATATATTCTATTTTATCTAATAGCTAGGTCAACAAAATAAAAGTTGCAATAGAAAGTTATATATACAAGTATATATTGTGGCTGTTGGGCAGAAACCTTGTACCTCCATATTCATTTTTATTTGTGGTCATAAATCAATGCAATCGGTCACATAAGCCGTCGTGTGGTGGCGTTCTGGTGCACTATGGCTGCTGTCGCATCATCTTGGTGGATGCTGCACATTGGTGGTGGGGAGATCCCCCTACAGTTGCACTACACTACAGTTCAATTTCAGTGTTATCGGTTATATGTGTGTTATGTGTGACAAAGTGGCCAATAAACATATTTCAAGTGTTACAGTAAATGTGTTGATCTAAATAACTGTGACATTGGTTATTTTAACAAAAAGCTTACTTTATTCTTTTGTTTTATCACGCTTGCATAGATGGGTCATTTTAGACCCATGTGTGTAAACTTGATGTATTAACACAAAACCTAGGAAATATTAAAATATAATTTTGTGATAATTGAAAAAAAGATATTTAGAATATTCATAAATCATGAAATTTATAGATCATGAAATATTAAATGCTCAAATAAAGTGATTTCAAAAGGTGAAACAAAAAAAAATGCCAATCCATGCATGAAATAACACAGGAAATGAATACGGGTCTTTTTAGACCCATGTTGTGCATTAGAGGGGGTATCCATAGCTTGCGCATCAAAGGGTTAATTGATTATACAATTTTAATTAAGGTTTATACATGCTACTTTCCATGACAGAGTTCAATAGCAATCTTTGCACTACTGCTTGAGCTGACAATTTGCTAAGTTTCAAATGATTATTAAACAGCCCTTCCAACACACTCGGTGTCTGAATTTGCTCACACATTTTCATTCACTCCTTAAAGTGGGCTATATTAGTGGAGTAATAGTGAATAAGGGTATGGGTGCGATTTCAAACTTCTTGGATTTAAATTTCAGTTCATGTTTCTTTCATTTTAGGATTTTCCTTGTCGCATGAACTCTCCCTTTAAGAAATAAATGCTGTTGTCATATGTTGTGTTCACACACAAAACAATTAGTATGATGGAGCAAATGTAAGGGTTTTTACAACCAGTTTTATGCCAAACTACAGTTTTTACCAACTGCTTACACACAAAATCTTTTCATGTCACACGATTTTTGAAACCTCTCACTCAAAGTGCAAAACTACATGCCAAATCTTCAAAACCATAAGCTATTTCTCAGCCTGTGACTCAGTTTTCAATTGCATAAAACACTTTTTTCAAAACACTACACACAATTCTCTACCTAAAACACAAAGATCTATCAGGAAGTGACTTGCTTTCCTTTTCCAAACACAACCAATCAAAATGCTACACTTATTGACCAGGTCACACATATACTCACTTTTCTGGATGCAATTCATACAATGCTTGTCCCTGATCCAGATCAGGTGCCTGCTAGATTTGTGGTTGTGTGGGACAATGTTAGTTTTCACCGGGCTGTTCTGGTCCAAAACTGGTTTGCCACCCATCCACAATTTGTAGTTTTGTACCTACCCCCATATTCACCTTTTCTAAATCCCATAGAGGAATTCTTCTCAGCCTGGCGCTGGAAAGTGTATGATCGCCAACCCTATGCCCGCATGCCGCTTCTCCAGGCAATGGAGGACGCATGTGGGGACATAGAGGTTGCCTCTGTCCAAGGTTGGATACGCCATGCTAGGAGATACTTCCCTCGATGTTTGGCAAGAGAAAACGTATCTTGTGATGTGGACGAAGTATTGTGGCCAGACCCAGCTCGGAGAAGAGATGAAGCTTAGCACTGGGAACTGCACCCCCCCCCCCCCCCCCCCCCCCCCCTGCCAATTCCTGG